AGCAGCTGAGGATGAATGTGTAAAGCTGTCAAGTGCTCTATATGAACAGATAATGTTCTAAAGCAGATGTCACAGATTATAATTTTGTTATATCCGTTAACCTTTTGCCCATCCTTAGTTGCTGTTGAATGCTGTCATCACCCCAGATTATCTATGACTGAAAAAGCCTTCTTGCAATTCCCATTCTGGGCTGCCCTGTTGATCACCTGGTAGGGAGTGTTGCATGTGGGATCCAGATGGCCCCCTGGCCTCCAAATTCCTCCCAAGGTGAATTTCCACCACAGTTTGGCAATGTTGGAGTCTCCCTTCTTCCTTGCTCACCTAACCAAGTCTTAAGTTAGCCCTTTAAAAAGGATTATACTTCACTGTAAATGTTCTGAAAGCTGTTTGATACTTTTTTTGTGGTAAGAAATGATCTTTTAATCCTTATTATAAGTAGTTCAACATCTGAAAAGGAGCTATATTTGGAAGAAGGTAAATGGTCTGTGGAAAAATCTAAGGACCCAAATTGCTGTAATTCTTTTTGGTTTTTTTACAAGAAAATTGAATTAAAAAATTTCTTTTAAGCTGTATGCACAGCATGTAATCTGATGTTCAGTGCAGTCTGTCATATGTCTTTGCCTGATCTTTGTGAGTAGTGACCTAGACCAGTGGTGCTGAATACCCCAAGTGATCAAGCATACACATAGTAAGAAGTATAACCCCCCTTGATAGTTGTGCTGCATAATTAAAATTCTTCATTCCTTAATATAGCTGTTGAGTTCTGTTAAAGATAGTGACCCAGAGAATTTGTGCCCAAAGGCCAGTGGGCATACCTGAGAATTATATGCAGGCAACCAAGCAAGCTGGGAGGGAATGGGGATGGTAAACATGGATCTAAATTAACTAAATGAAATAGAAGTAATGTCTATATCTGGTTTGAAAGAGCTCAGTGAGACTTCCTAAACAGAATGTAGTAGTTTGTCAGATGCATATTTTAACATGCTTCTCTGACTGTCTTCTCTGTGTCTCTGTTTCTTTTTTGGTTTGCTGGTTTCTTCAGTTTTCTGACAGCCTCTTCAGATTAGGGTTATTTCTCTATTGTATGTTTCATTTGTCTTATTGCATGGGAATATATTTGTCTCCTGTAAAGCATGTATTTAGTTGATCTTACTTGAGATCATTGTTTCAAAATAATTGCTAACATTGGTGTTTGTATTAGGTTTCCACCTGACCTGGTAATTATCTTTTGTTTTGTGGCTTAACTGGCTACAGATAATGCAAAATACAGAGTGAAAATAGCAACACATGTCCAGTTTGAATTGTGGTGTCTCGGAAGTCTTTATTAAAATGTCCAGCTGTAACCACTGAAATCTTGAAGAACTATTTGGTTTTTTTTTCTGTATTGTTTTGCTCCCAGGGATGTCTGAGTTGGGGAAATCTGGGTGCTGAACTCACTGTAAATACTCACATACAGCACCTTTGATTGGAAATTTCTCATAAGAGACTGTACATCCTGAGCTGAACTGGAGTGGAAGAATCTGGTTTCTGCTGGTTTAGTCTTTTTATGCTATATGAAGATCCAGTAGGTATTGTGATCTCAAGCTAGAGATGTGCACACTTGAGGGGAAAAAAAAAGAGATCAATTCTATCATGACATGTTTTCAGATCAAAATCCCATATGGTTTTCAATCACGGAATTGTTTTTTGTAATCCTTGTATTAGGGTTAAATTTATTTTTATTATGTTAAAAGCTTTGTTTGTGTTCATACAAAATCTGCAAGTAGATTGTCTAGACTTTGAATTACATTAAATCCACTGCAATTTATCCAAGGATTATTTATATGGGGTTATTTGTACAGAAGTGCCATTAATGTGTTGAGCAGTTTGTTCTTGGACAGCAGGGACCTGACAGTCACTGTAACTTGAGGATAAACATACCATTTGTTAGGTCTGTCCTACTTGAATGTTTTGCTGTTTTAATGATAGCAATTGTTCTTAGTTACTGTTGTAGTCACAACATTACTTCTGGGCGTGTTGACTGGACAAGCTGTCAAATTAAGATGCATTCAATATGCCTGCTGGATTCTGATACTGCACTGAAGTAGAAAGCCTGGTGAAATGTTTTAGTGGGAATTGCAGATTGTAGTTTCCCTTGTGGCTTAATGGCAGAGTTGCAAACAATAACATCCAAGGTCAGGCCTTTTCTCAGATATTTTCCAAATGTGAAGGTTTAGGATTAAGACTTGGTGGTGTTTGGAAGTTAAGACTTCCTTGCCCTCCCCCTTATCTGTATTTTTAAAACATAAATCGTATTTTAAAAATCCAACCAACCACCCTCACTTTGTGAAATAGTACCTTTGAAAACTTACTCTACCGTTGGCTGCAATGTGAAAAAGCATTATAATAAAAAAGGTGCACTGACTTGAGGGTCACCTCCTGCCCTAGTAGTCTCATTGATGAATCTGTTGTTGGGATCACTCTTACGAGCAACTGGCTCATAAATTGAATGACACGAATAATGTTTGCCTAGTCTAGTTCTGAAACAAGGAGGGAAGTTAATTTTTAACAGATAGAGAAGTTAATAACTAGGATTGTAATAATCTTGCCAAAATCTGCTGTCCCTAAATTCAGGCACCAAAATAGGGAAAAAGATAATTAACAGAGGGCAGTTCATTCAGTTCTGAGGCAACAAAGTCAAGCCCTATCCAGAGTGCAAGTCATCCTAACTTTCTTTTATCCTTAATTTACTTGGGATTCAGAACAACTAGTTAAAATTAAACATCATATTTTCACATGGCTGATGTCCAGTGAGGGGAATCTTACTCTTTTTCACAGATAAATCATCTTAAAATGCAAGTAAATTTTTATTAAAATGAAATTATAAATATCCATTTATTTCTTACACAGTGATACAAGCTCATCTTTGGACTGGTTACAGAGAGACTAAGCAATGTATTTATTCTAAGAAGCACAGCTGTTGAAAGCACAGGTTTAAGTGGCCTATGGTTAATTTTCTAAAATCGTAAAAGTCTTTGAGGTAGAAGATAAATTACACATTTGAAAGATACATATGCACAGGAGAAGTGGTTGCTTATTTAAGCACGAGGGTGTTTTTACATATTTGGGGCATCCTGACTAGAAATATTAAACGAAAGCAACATTAAAAATTAAAGCAATGGTAAAATTACTTGGAGTCGTCTTTTCAATTGTTTTGCTGACAATTATTGATGACACAAGTGCATAAGAAGTTGTTTATGTAATATAGAAAAATGGGACGTCACCAAGCAGCAACGTCAACTCAGAGCTTTCAGTCTACGTTGCATAGTAAACTTGATTTTTTGGGACAGCAGAGATTTTTTGGAAATTCACAGTACCAAACAACTGCTTGAAGCCGGTGTTTTTCAGGGGTCACACGTTGCTATGAAGTCATACTGTTGCCCTCTACTGGCATCTGCTGAAAACTCCTGAGGCCTTTCTCCTCGTTACCATTGTTCTCCATGGTTAATATCTAAAGGACACTATTAATCCATTTCGGGCAAACTCAAAACCATCCTTTGAAAGCAAAAGTCTTTCTCTTTAAAGAGACTCAGAGGTGGAAGGGGAGATGGAGGAGGAGTACAAATCCTATCTGTCAACACTCGTCTGCTTACAAACTGCTGAAAGCTTTAACTTCTACTTCAAAAGCTCTCAAACATAAAAATGCTGGCTGCATTAATTAAATGTTTGAGTACTGACAAATACTGGAGAGTTGGAATTTCAGAGGTATGAGTTGAAGACATTGGAGGTCATGAGAGAGAGTAGTACCGTATTTCAAAATGCTCAGTGAAAACAGAGCTATAGCACAGTGATTGTTGCTATCATCCTAAAAAAAAAAACCCAAAAGCAACCAAAAAAACCCCACAGAAACAAACCCCAAAAACCACACACACAAAAAAACAAGCCCAAAACAAACAAAAAAAAATCCCACCAAATTCACAAAACTGTACTTTCTGAGAGATGTCGGAATACAAGAGAGGAAAACATTTGTATTTCACGAGTGCTTTGCTACACTTTTTTTTTTTGCTGCTGTTGTCAACAGTTATGTAAACAATAATAAAAGAACAGAATAGCCAGTCTACTAAATAGGTTTGTTGGGGTTTTTTTATCCCCTTACTTAAGTAACAGTCTAATCTCAGCTGCCCTCAGACCTCTACCTGTGACTATATGGAGGTTTTACATACAACAGTGCCTATGAGCTGTGCTGTATTGGCAGTTGGTCCTTCTGAAGAACTTAAAATGCCCTTGGGGAGTTATAAAGCTTTATCACTTCTTCCAAATTATGGAGCTAGTTTGGAAAATTCACTCTTTGATTCCAAATAGCTCAGTATCCACATTACTCTAATGTAAGGTTGGGAGAAATTGATGCTAAATGACACCAGTTTAATGGAGCATTAAACTAAGTACCTCTAAGATGTGACGTGCCGCAAGAGAGATGTTAGGATCCTTCTGCTTCCATTTCAATCATAAAGTGCAAGGCAAATTGCAGAAACTTTTCATTTACTAGCTTCTAACAGTTAGTTCAAATACAGCATTAAAAAAGAGTAGATATTATGTTTAATTTGGATTCTAACACCCAGAGGACTCTAAAAAATGACCAGATGTGAAGTAGAGGTAGTATTTGGGAGCAGTTAATGCCTAACCATAAAAGTGACCGCATGTAAGTCACTGTAAAATGTGGTCTGGGCAAGGGCAGTAGGTATTTTATTGTTGTGCTGTGATTTGTCTTGTTTTCCCAAGGCTATGTGATAGATTACGAGAACAAAACCAAGCAGCAAAGAGTATTATTTGGATCTAGCCCTGCATCCTACTCAGGTGCACCCTTATCTGTAATTTTCCTAATGCTTAAGATCTCTTCTTGTTTGAACTGAGTGTGAGGAAGAAGCCAGGAAAAAAAAAATACTTCTGATTGACAAGTAACTGCTGCAAAGCCTTCCTGTACTGGGGCCATATTTATTGGATTCTAATCTTCTTCTCCTCAGGTGAGCGTCCTTACCAGTGTCCTTACTGTGACAAAGCTTTCAGCAAGAATGATGGATTGAAGATGCATATTCGCACCCACACAAGGGTAAGTCCCCAATAAGGGAAAGTGTAGCTTAGTTTTTATGGTTACTTGAGGATAGTATGTGAATCAGTGTGTGTGTGTGGGGGGAAATTGTGTAGAGATTAGACTCTACCAAGCAAGACGCTTTGTATTTGCCAAAATAAGAGGCAAAGATTTAAGTCATTAACTATTAAATTCTAATTATGTTCTTATGTTTTTTCTTTGATTTCTTCCCTGTTGAAATAACAGCAGTACTAACTTCTTTCTTGAACCTGTGCTTATTTATAGACATAAATTAATGTTTGTGATAGTTTAGTGAGTAAGCAATTCTGTAAAGGCTTCACTACTCTTGAAACCTCAATACCCAGTGCTTTGATTCTTACTGTCTCCTTAAAATCCAGTCACTGTGAGCTTTATTAGAGACTGTACTAACTGATAACAAATGTTAAGCTGCAAAATTACTTCATTTAGCTGAATGTAAAATAAAAGGCAAATTGCAGATGTCTCCAAGATTATTTTTGAACCTTGAGTGTCAGCACAAAAGTTCCCAGTTAGGGAACTTGACTTACTTGATAAAGTACTTACTTGGTAAAGTAAGATCTCCAGATGAAGTTAAGGTGGTCCAACATTCCATATACTACCTGCCTCTGACCTCCCCACCCACCATAAGAAAACAAGCAAAAAGAAGTAAACTGTAGCTTCTATTGCAGCCTTTACTAGTAACCCCTTGGGATCTGTTAATGCTTCCACAAGTCAAGGCAGCCTTGATGCCAAACTTACAAAGTTCTTGTTTATTAGTTCTTTATTATTTATTAGGAAAAAGGGAGGGTGATAGTTAATTGGTAGTCTCCATATACAAATCTGCACACAGAATAGCTTTCTAAATAAGAAAAGATAACGATCTAAACTGTTTTTTCTATTTTCTGTTATTCTGCCTAGGTCTTGAGGATATTAACTGGAGGTCTTTAGTTGTAGGTCATGTAGCCCTAACTTCAGAAGTTACCAGTAGCTGGTTCAGTGTTTTCTGGTAGTACACTGGGACCAGGCCAGTCCCATGTTGTTATTTATTTCTCCTTCTTTCCAGCTATTAGATCACTTTAAGAAGTGCTATAAAATCCTTTTCGTTGTTACTGTCCCATATTACTGGTTTTGCACCAAGAGAAATTTCATTACCATGTATGTTCTTCAGGGCTGTGAGTGGGAGGAACAGTAAACAAGACCAGCTCTGAAACATTGCCAATTTAAATTTTTTCCTCCTTTGTCATACAGTTTGAGTAAAAACAACAGCCCACCCCCCCAGCCTCTTTTTTTTAAAAAAAAAAAAAAAAGTGAAAAAAGAGACCTTTAGAGCCTGTAACAATGTATCTCTGTTGACTATAGTGATTTACACCAAGTGATGATTTCTTGCAAAATGTGTGCTCATGAATGAGGTTAGAGAACTTAACAAACATGGTCTTCATTGCTTAAAAGCTGTAAATTAACTGACAGCAGTTGTTTGCAGCAGAATTGCATACCCTGCAGTCTTAGAAAATGCCGTGCTTCAGTAGAAGAAAGCTGTGTGTTTTATTCTTTGTAACTATGTTTTTTCTTGATGGCTGTGTGGATCAGTCGCTGTCTACATGCACAGTGTAGAAAATAAAGCCCTTGGATATATTATGCTAACAATTAAATTGTTTTGAAGTAGAGATTTTTAATTGTACTGAATGGAAAACTTAAAGTTCTGTTCAGCTGAGTGTACTTTTCTTGGGATGGTTCTTGCTCTTAGCTGTCCTCTGAAATGTAATTATGCACCCTAGTAGAGAATTTGCTGTTTTCTTCTTGTTTGGCTGCTTGCTGGTACCTCTTCTATGTAACTTGTTGCTTACATGTATTCCCATACGTAGTGATACTTTCCCTCTGCTATATATAAGCCAAAAAACCCCACCCCAAACCTTTGAAATTTGCAGGCTGGCTCCAAAACACTTACAAAAATAGGACAGAAAGCCAAACTGAAGACTTTACATTTATTTTGAAACAGGAGTGAGAAGAAAATAATTTAAATGCAGGTTATGAATGACAGAAGAAGACAAGAGTTATGAAAGTAGATTTTACAGAGTGGAGATCTCTGTTTAATATATGTAGATGTCTTAATTAGGCTTTATATTGCACTAATAATATAAATGTATTTGCATAGCTAAAACTTTTCAAGTCTTTGGGGGTGGAAGTAGTGTTGACTAGCAGTACTAATAAAAACAAGAAAACAGCAAAATTTCTTATGAACTTTCACAGATGTTAAAGTCTGATTATGCTGAGTCTGTTCTACACAACATTATCCATGTATGACTGTAGGATAAGTAGTTGCAGTTTAATTGTTCAGATGAGTATATATTAGTACAGTAATAGAGGAATAAATATATATTTTAGGTGGTGTGATTCAGATGTAAGTGCAAGAGAACAGAATGGTCCAGGGATTTGGGGTATTTGGAAAGAATAATGAGGAGGAGGGAGAGAAAATACTGAGAGGTAAACTGAAAAGAGGCTGATATTTACAAGAGCACTTCTGTGCTTGGCAAGAATAAATATTTGTTTAATTTTTATAGTAGGCTGATGCTTGTTGGGAATGTAGTGGTTGACATTCAGGGTCTCATTAAGAGGTATTGGAAAAACTTAAATGATAGACCCTTGTGTGTTTTTGTTTATGCATGCTTTCTAACTTAGTAATGTATTATTTTTATAGTTTTTTTTGTAACTTAAAATATCCAGGTGGCAAACAATCAAAAAAACTTTTTTTTAGTAAAAAACCCTGCTTTATATGTAGGTTATATAATAGTTTTGTAATATCAAGGTCACCTGCCTTGAGTATTTTTTCTGAACACAGAGATGCTAGCAAAGCTGAAACCTATGCACCGTGTGAGAGGCAGAACTCTTGACAGTTTCTGCCGTGTACTTGAAGACCAGGTGGGTCTGTCGTCACTGCCTGAGGTGCTGTCCCTTCCTTTTTCCTGCCATTGCCTTCTCAAGCAGGTACATCGTGCTTGCTGGAGAAGAAGTTGGGGATTCTCCAGTACTGTTGCTCATTTAGTCAGATTTTACTGTTTAGCAGAAATGGTTAAGAGTTATGGCTATTAGGATGGTTCACTTTACAAGGTTGATATTCTAATGTATTTGTAGGCAGGCCTGACAGTTGAATCTCCAGCTGCAAGCATTTCAGATCTTTAACCAAGAGTAGTATAAACTGAACTGGGAGTTCTGAGCTATTCACATATAAGTCTTTTTTGAAATGAATGCATCAAATCATTTAGTAGCACCTCTCTGGTGCTCAGGGTGGTCCTGGTCTAATTCTTCATTTTGGAAATCAGAGGCTACGTGTATGCTGTATGCTGAAAATTAGTGTAATGCAGTATAAGTGAAGTGGAACAGTTGGTGCTGAAGACTTCATGTTTATCTTGTATGTGTTTCAAGGATTTTACTGCAGATTTTGTGTAGTCTGCTCCTATGGACTAATGCACAATAGCTCTCTCTGGAATGCATTAAACCTTCTGGTTTAATTTTTTCCAAAAGGAATCCAGGTCATGTAGTCCAAAACATTTTGGAAGTGTACACTGAAGCACAGTAACAGGGCGCATTTGGGAAGTGTGCTTCAAAAGCACATACCCAAATAGAAATACTAAAAGAGAGACCTTTTGAACTGTACTATGTGAAAACTTTGCCAATGAAGAAAGATTATACCTATGCAGAAATAGCTTAAAACTCCTCAGCATGAAACTAATTCACTGTACCTTGTTCTGTGATCCTAGGGTATTGAGGCAAAAAACAACCTAAAGGTTAGGAAATTAAAAATGCACCGTTTTTGCCAGTATTTGTTTCTATCAGTTGTAAGAACAAGAAAAGCCAGGAAGTCACACTCAGTTTTTCTCTTCAGGCATCCGATGTGTTGGACTTTCAAAAGATTGTAAGGATGTTTGCTGTTCCATTTCTTGCCCTTTCCTACACATTTTATTCTGAAATTTATTCTTACATGCAAAACAATTATTCAAAGAATAAATAACAAGGTGTATAAAGCCAGAAAGTGTTTTTGTGTAGGCTAAGCCTAGCTATGTGGAAATAAACACAATCATAGCACCCTTCCTCTTGTATATATCTCAAACAAAAAGTCTGGTCTTTTGACCAGAAGAGTTGTGAAGTACCTTAACAGTAATAATATGACATTCAACAAGGAAAATGTCATTGTAGAGATTAAATCTAGATATATTTTACTGGTGGGATTAAATGCTAAACCTGATCCTGTGGATCAGGAAAGGCTGCTGGAAAAATCATTGTAGAAAGTTGATTAAGGTCTGGCAGCTGCTAAACTGAGTACAACCTGGGTGGCCACACGTGTCACCTCAAACTCTGGAGTAAACACAGAAGGTAAACCAAAACCCCTACTGACAATGTAAGCAGAAGAAAAAAACCCAACCATCTCATATTAAAATGTCACCTGAGTACTGGTTTGTGTTGATATATTTCTTCTTACAGGAAAAAAAAAATAAGAAAACATAAATGAACTCATTGAAGTTCTTGATGAAATGAATTGCAGACCATATCAACTTTGAGGAAATACTTGCATGCTTCCAACCTTCACAGTGCAGTAAACTTCAGCTCTTTCCTATGGTTTTACTCAGTGCCTGATGTAATGTTACATAGTTTGAGCTATGAAACATGTAGAGAAATTATTTTGTTACAGCAATATAATTGTTAATGTTTGGAAATATGATCACTGATAGGTGCCCAGAGTTATTGTCGTATCAAATTGATGTTTTCATTACTTCTGAAAATAGTAGTTTTATTACGGTTTGTTTCAGTTAAATACATGGCAGTGATGAAAACCAGAAAAAGGAGAAGCCATTTGCAAAAGCTTTTTCATCACTTGGTTTAAATATTTCATATTTATACTCTGAAGGTATAACATACATGTAATTTTTATAGCTTGTTTAAAGATCTGATTTCTGGTGGTTGGAAGTCTGCTGGCTGTAGTGCCCAAATTGTACATTTCTGAGGTAATT